GTGCCAAGACATAAAAGGCCTATAGATTTGGGTTTATGTGCTGCAAATGACAGGAATCAGGAAGCATATGGACTGCTGCATTCCAGTCCAATTACCATTTCTGAGGTTTCTTTAAAAGCAGCTTTATGAGAAATATATTGCAGTAATCTAATCGGGTAGTAATAGGAACATGAATTCTTTAAGCCAGATCCTTTTGCTCTAGATACAGTTGTGATTGGTACACCCTGGAAGCTGGACATAGGTCCTTCTGGCCATGGCTTCTACCTGCTCTTCCAGAAGGGCTCTCAAATTGCAGACCTGTTCTTCCATGACTAGTGTCTGCTTGTCAAGAGACATCACTGGTTGCAACAAGAAATCCTGATGTACAAGCAACAACTCTTGAGCTTAGCTTTACACTGTCCTCTCCCATCCTTAAAGCCCAGGAAAGGACACTAACGGCATCTCTCCTCAGTTAGGATAGCTCTTATATCATACTGGTGAAACTGTACTCCAAATTGTCAGATGATCCTATCTGGTAGGTTTACATAGATGTTAAAGAACAGGGGACAGAGGGTTGATCTGTGCAACTTCTCACATATCAGGCTGATTCTCCTCAAGCATTACTACACATTGAAACCACCCCGCAAAGAAGGAATAAAATCTTTGCAAATAATGCTTCACATATCCAAGCCCTGCAGATGACCCATGGTTGATAATATCAAAGGTGGCTGAGAGGTCCAAGAGGGGCACATTCTCCTAGTCCATATCCTGGCAGAGGACACCCAAGAGAGTCACTGATGGTATCACATTCACATTTAGAGTCCAAATAATCCTCTTCTAGGGTACTATGAAGCTAGTCTGCTAGTAGTAAAAAAAGAGAGGCTGGAAACAGGATGATAGCTGTCTAGAACAGTGGTTCTCAACCTGTGGGTCGGGACCCCATTTGGGGTCGAACGACCATTTCACGGGGGTCGCCAACCAATGCAATCCACCATTTTTTCCCCCTTTTCCTTAGCTGTGCTACTCCCTTTTATTCTATTGGCTTTTGAAAGCCAATAGAATAGACTCTCTTGAATAGAGTCTAATTCTATTGGCTTTCAAAAGCCAACAGGAATTGTCCAGGCTGTCTCGCCCTGCTGAGCCCGCCAAAAGTCCCATTCTGCAAATGGTGCTGCACCAGTTGAGTAGTCCTCGACTTACGACCAGTTGAGTAGTCCTCGACTTACAACCGGTTGGGGGTCGCGGCATTAAAAAGGTTGAGAACCACTGGTCTAGAACCACTAGATTCAGAGAAGGCATCTTCATAAGAAAGCTCAACACAGCCTCACCCTCCTGTAAAGAGGCATTGGCAATCTTCTAAATCTGCCATGTCAAACAAACCACGAGCTTCTGATTGACTGATTTTATTGTTATTATACAGAAACACAAGATACTAACAGGGCATATTTTCACATGGTTCAGGTCAAAATGATGAGAGGAGAAAACAGAAATAGTAGCTCTTTCCATATGCCAGAAGATTTCTACTGTCTTGGAAAATGGAGGCAATTAACTCACCAAGATAATGGATTACTCCATAGCCAAGAACTCTTCACTTCTGGGAATTGAAGTCCCTACATCTTAAAACTGCTGGGGTTGAGAAATCTAGTCTAGGGGCAGGCAACCTTGGCTCTTTTATGACTCGTGGACTTCAACTCCTAGAATTCCTGAGTCTCAGGAATTCTGGGAGTTGAAGTCCATGAGTCATAAAAGAGCCAAGGTTGCCTACCTCTGCATTAGTCTAATGGGCACTTATAAGCAGCATTTCACAGACTACAGTCCCCAGTTTACCTCATGTGAAAAGTATGAAGCCACAAGAGTATAACTTCAAATGTTACATGATGGCAACCTGTGTATTTTGGGCAGCTATGGTCATTCCTCAACTTATGGACACCCCTGGTGTTATGTGGTGAGAAGAACAGATGAGTGACTTTTTCCAGCCCACTTCCTGTATTCCTGTTTATGCCTTTTACAATTCTTTTAAAAAAAGAATTGCAAAGACTCAACCAACTGCAGAAGTAATACAAGCATAAGAGAAAGTTTGATAAGCTTCAGCTAGTAGAGAATGTGGCTACATGAGCAATGCTGGACCTCTAAAAGATGGTGCCATAACACTTCTGCTGTATGAGCTGCATTGGATGCTGGTATGTTTCCAGGTCCAATTTAAGGGTTGGTTATGACCCTTAAAGCCCTACATGGCATGGGCTCAGGTTATCTATGGAACTGTCTCCATCTCACCCATTCAGGCAGAGAAAGTATGCTGTAAATGTAGGGATTATACTGAAAACCCATCATTCTCAGGTTCTATAGGTCAATCCCTTTCTTCCTTTATAGATTGGGGCAAAAAAGTATTTCCACTGCCTCAAATGATCAGAGCAGGAATTCATCTAAAACAGAATAAAAGGGGATGGTATTTTAACTATAGGATGGTGATGATTCTAAAAAGTCTTAACTGGAAAAAAATAGATTACATAACCTGTGGACAACATAGCTGATCCTCAATATTCTTTATAAGTGATGTGAAAAAATAAATAAAAATCTAACAATTAAGTACAGTACTCTTATATTGTGAACTCTTGCTGAAATAAAGGTGGGCTAAATCTAGATGGATTGAATTTTTAAATATCAGTAGCGGGAGCTACTGCTGGTAATACATTAATATTTACTTAAATTTAATATCTTCATATTTAATCCTACAAGAGAGGGGAAAGATCATTTAAATGTATGCAGCTATTTTAATATTTCAAAGACTGTCATAAACTCACTATCTCTACCTCTGGCAATACAAAAGCTGAGTAAGTTATTCAATGCTAAGCTAAACTAAATTTAAATAATCAGCATATTAATTACTTTACCACTCTTGAAGTATTTATGATTGAAAAAGAATAGCTCTTAAAACAAAATTAAACTATTTTGCACCAAGAAGAATAGTAAAGATTTCGCTTTCATATGACAACTTAAAAGTTAATCCTCATTTATCAACCAATCCTAGTTTTTAGTTTTGAGGGGGCTTCAGGCTGTTTACTTTGAGTGTACTCTCTTAAATTATGCAGGGTGACGGTAGGATAAGAATCAGAATTTTCAGTTTATCTATCTATCTATCTATCTATCTATCTATCTATCTATCTATCTATCTATCTATCTATCTATCTATCTATCTATCACAGTGGTTCTCAACCTGTGGGTCGGGACCCCATTTGGGGTCGAACGACCATTTCACGGGGGTCGCCAAACAACGCAGTCCGCCCTTTTTTTCCCCTTTTCCTTAGCTGTGCTACTCCCTTTTATTCTATGGGCTTTTGAAAGCCAATAGAATAGACTCTCTTGAAGAGAGTCTAATTCTATTGGCTTTCAAAAGCCAATAGGAATTGTCCAGGCTGTCTCTGCCCTGCTGAGCCCGCCAAAAGTCCCATTCTGCAAACGCTGCTGCACTAGTTGAGTAGTCCTCGACTTACAACCGGTTGAGTAGTCCTCGACTTACGACCGGTTGGGGGGTCGCGGCATTAAAAAAGTTGAGAACCACTGATCTATCATCTATCATTTAATATCCTACTATCCAAATAATCTCGCTATCCAAAGCAATAATTTGGAGGTATGACTTAAAACTAAAATATATGATCTAAGTATTGCCCCCAACAGACGGAAAACCACATAATTATTAGCCACATAAAATTTTAGCAATGCAATTTTGGGGTATTATGGGTAGTAATGATGGGGCCTTGAGGCTAATTTCTTCCAGGAGCTATATTTTCCCTGTCTCAGCTCCAGCTAATACAGGTAGTCTTCAACTTTCAACAGTTCATTTAGTTGCACCACCTTCCTGCTCCTCCCAGCCTATCTGCATATGCCTAAGAGGAAAAGAGTGATCAAAATATCCCTGGCAAGATTGACATGCCAGAAATGATCTTATCCTTTTTTCCCAAGATGTGGACATCTAAAGGAATTTTTAAAATCATCTACAATCAGTTACAGTTGACTTACGACCACAATTGAGCCCAAAATTTATGTTGTTAGGTGAGACATTTGTTGAGTTTTGCTCCATTTTACGACTTTTCTTGCCATATTGTTAAGTGAATCACTGTGGTTGTTAAATTAGTAACCCAGTTGTTAGGTGAATCTGGTTTCCCCATTGACTTTGCTTGCCAGAAGGTCGCAAAAGGGGATCAAACAATCCTGAGGCACAGCCAAGGTCATAAATATGAATCAGTTTCCAAGCATCTGACTTCTGATCACATGATCCTGGGGATGCTGCAAAGGTCGTAACTATGAAAAACAGCCATAAGTCACATTTTTCAGTGCCATTGTAACTTTCAACGGCCACTAAATGAACTGTTTTAAGTGGAAGACTACCTGAATAAGAGCTGTAATTAAAAGACCGACATTTCAGATACTTGGTTTTGTATTGATTTATCCATGGCACTGAGATAGGAACTTGTGACAGGCAAATTCCTGAGATGCTTTAATGGGCAAGTGCAGCTTTAGAGCCAAAAGCAACTGTTCATTAGCAACTCAAGTCCAAAACAAGGCAAACAGACATTACATTTTAGGAAAGAGGACGATCAGGAAAGCAGACAATAATTAGAAAGAAACGGTTCTCTTCAAAAAGAACCTTAACTAGAATGAAAACAAAATTAACCCACTACAATTTAGACATTAAATATGCAAAGGATGTTTGTATCCTCAACCAATTCTTCTACTATCAACTTCAAAAAAATAAGGAGACAAAGCAATCAAGTCACACGGCAGCAAATATACACCGTTATTCCAGTGATCATCTAAATTAAAGTGGATTTGAGATGGAGGTGCTGGAGCCAATCGCTCGCTGGTTGAATGGACCCCCCCTACACACCTCACCCTGCTCCTTGTAGGAGAGCAGCGCGTACGATACGGAATACCTCCGGCCCCCCCTTCCACTAGGCAAGGCGGACACCACTAGTTTAACCGAGGGGAAGGGAAGGGAGGGAGAGAAGGGGAGCCTTGCAGACCGTCCAGCGCCAGCATGGAGGGAAAGTCCTTGCAGTTGGACACCCCGGTGGAGTCGGTCACGCAGGTCTTCCAAAGGTTGGCCCAGAAAGTAGCCGTAGTGATGACGGTGCCGTCGATGGAGGACACCTTCCAGTAATCGGTGGGCAGCGTGGAGGACACCAACACCCAGCCAGAGATGACCAGCAGGAAAGCCAGGATTTGGACGACCGCGCTGGCCATGGCCGACGGGACGGAGCGGGGCGGCGAGGGCGCGCGAGCCTCCTACCTGCGCCCCACTGGCCGACCGACTGAGCACAGCCGGCTGCCGCGGCCCCGCGGAGCTCTCACCCGCGCAGCATCCTCCGGGCCGAGAGGGAGGGGGAAGGAGGCACGCCTCCCGTCCAATCCCGGCCGTGAGGTGGCGCTGCCGGCGGGCAGGACCCGCTTCGACGGCTAGAGAGAGAGAGAGAGAGAGAGAGAGAGAGACCGAGACCCGCGTCTCCAAATGGGCTGCCAGCCTTCGGCCCTCACTGCCCGCACTTTCGCCCCGCGCCCGGCGGTGGCCCTCTGGCGCCTCTGAGCAGAGAGCTGGCCTGTCTTGGCAGCCCAGCCAGAAGCGACCGGGAGTGGCGGCCGCGGCGGCCTTCTCTTCCACGATGGCACCCGCGCAGGAAAAGGACGGGGTCACGCCTGATTTATTCCGAATATTGGCAGCAGGTTGGGGTGAGATTCCCACAGGGCAAGATTTCTATCATGCACGTGTAGAGAAACTGTACAAATAGGTAAAACAGGTGTGTCCGAGACCTAGGTAAGTATATTTCCCTCCCTCCTCCCCCCCCAAATACAGATAGTCCTCGACTAATGAGCACAATGGAGCCCAACATTTCTGTTGCTGAGTGAGACGTTTGTTAAGTGAGTTTTGCCCCATTGTACGACCCTTCTTGCCACTGTTGTTAAGTGAATCACTGCAGTTAAGTGAGGGACATGGTTGTTAAGTGAATCTGGCTTCCCCATTGACTTTGCTAGTCAGCAGGTCACAAAAGGGGATCACATGACCCCAGGAGAATGCAGCTGTCATAAATGTGAATCATTTGTGAAGCATCTGGATTTTAATTACCTGACCCTGGGGATGCTGCAATGGTCATAAGTGTAAAAAATGGTCATGTTGCTTTTTTCAGTGCCGTTGTAACTTTGAATGGTCACTAAATGGACTGTTGTAAGTTGAGAACTACCTGTACTCTCTGGGGCATTCTCCTATGTTTCGGGGTTGAAACTTTCCCAGGGCTATGACCAGCCAGCCTTCTGCAGGTTCAGACAAAGACAAAAACCAGCCTGGGCTCAAAACTGGCTCCTCCTATGGGCCAGAGCCTCTCCTTGGCCACCAAGATCCATGAAGAAATTCAGCAAAGGTGGAGCTCTTGGGTTAGGAATGGAGGGCCAAGAAAACTCAGCTAGTCACAATTGCTAAATATCTCAGTTTTCTACCTCTTTCCAGTTGGGATTTATATCTTTGGGGTCATCTCCAGGTGAAACCATTTGAGACCTACAGTTCTGTGTCAAATTCACAGCAGCAAATCATCAGAGAGGAGGTACAAATCTTGTGAAAACATTCAGCCAGAAAATGGGCTATTATATTCTCACAGAATATGTGACATTTTATAAACTCAGCTGTAAAGAGTATTTTCACAACAACAGATGCTTATTCCACCCAAAACCAGGTAAGCTCTCCAGCATAGCTGAACTGAGATCCAGCAGAACAACGTAGTTTGCAAAAGATGTAAGTCAGTAGAGGTTTTTTTGAAGAATAAATTCACCAGCAGCCATTTCTAGTGTCATCAATTATATTACAGATGACAATACTACTTGTTCTTTTGCCAGAGTGAACAGATTAGGGTCGTCATGCCTGTTGTTCTCCAGATTGCTTTTTCTTTTTCATTTATCCTCCATGTTGGACTACTTGAAGTAGCCCTGTTTTAGGATATATTTAGAGCCCTTAGCTAAGAATAGATAGATGATTATTAGTTGAGTTGAAAAGTTGACCTCTGTATATTATATTGAGTTCGTTTAATTAAAGGAGAACGTAACAGAACAGGCTATTAGACAAAGCTCCTTTCTGAATGAAAGAAGCAAAACACTTTCAGTAAGTGATCTGGGAGCTAAATAAAACAAACCTGAATTATAAACTAGATTACCATTCTCTCATTTACTTAGCTACCCCACTCCACCAATACATACAACACTGTATGCCTGCATGAATAGGGATACAAAACAATGTTTAATTTCAGAGGCAAGTGCTGTGATTGAAACTTGCTTAGGTTTTTAGCTTAACAGCTGTTTATAATATTTTCCATTGCTACTGATTACTCATTAAAAAGAAAAGATACTCTGCCTCTGCTTAGTGCCACTCTTTTTATTTATTAAAACTCAAATAGACATTAAAAATTGTTTTGCTTCTACAAATTGTGGTTAAGATTCAAATCTTGCAGTTATACTGGACAAGAAAGAAGGAGAAGAGAATGCAGAAAAGTGAACCTTATTATAACTTGTCCTCAGAGTAAAAGTCTTTTATGTGCCATGCAAGTTTAAGTGGGATGATTTTTTTTCCTTCATTTTTTTCTAATTTTGCAAGAAATATCACCCATACTCCTTCATGGATTCCTGCCTTGTTGTGGCGAAGGGGCTTGTGTAACTCAATGAAGTTATGAGCTATGCCGTGCAGGGCCACCCAAGATGGACAGGTCATAGCAGAGAGTTCTGACAAAATGTGATCCACTGGCAAGGAAATGGACAGGAATGGGTGAATTTAATTCAGAGGACCATCAGGTATACTACTGTGGGCAAGAATCCCTCAGAAGAAATGGAGTAGCCTTCATAGTCAATAAAAGAGTAGGAAAAGCAATACTGGGATACAATCCCTGAAATGATAGAATTATCTCAGTGTGAATGCAAGGCAAACCATTCAATATCATAGTAGTCCAAGTCTATGCCCCAACCACTGGTGCTGAAGAGGATGAAATAGAATAGAATCAACACCAAAAAACGATGTCCGTATCATGGGGGATTGGAATGCTAAAGTAGGAAGCCAAAAGATAACTGGAATAACAGGCAAGTTTGGCCTTGGAGTACAAAATGAAGCAGGGCACAGGCTGATAGAATTTTGTCAAGAGTATACAATAGTCATAGCAAACACTCTTTTCCAACAACCCAAGAGACGGCTCTACATGTGGACATCACCAGACAGTCAACACAGAAATCAGATTGACCATATGCTCGGCAGCCAAAGATGGAGAAGCTCTATTCAGGCAGTAAAAACAAGACTAGGAGCTGACTGTGGCTCAGATCATGAGCTTCTCGTTGCAAAATTTAGGCTTAAATTGAAAAAAGGGAAAAACACTAGACCACTCAAGTATGAACTAAATCATATCCCTGATGAATATACAGTAGAGGTAACAAATAGATTTAAGGAATTAGATCTGATAGACAGGGTGCCTAAAGAACTATGGACGGAGGTTTGCAACATTGTACAAGAGGTAGCAACTAAAACCATCCCAAAGAAAAAGAAATACAAGAAAGCATAACGGCTGTCTGAGGAAGCTTTGCAAATAGCTAAGGAAAGAAGAGAAGCGAAAGGCAAGGGAGAAAGAGAAAGATACATCTAATTGAATGCAGAATTCCAGAGAATAACTAGAAGAGATAAGAATGCCCTCTTAAATGAACAGTGCAAACAAATAGAAGAAAATAATAGAATAGGGAGGACCAGAGATCTCTTCAAGAAAATTGGAGATATGAAGGGAACGTTTCATGCAAAGATGGGCATGATAAAGGAGCAAAATGACGGACCTAACAGAGGCAGAAGAGATTAAGAAGAGCTGGCAAAATTACACAGAAGAACTATATAAGAACGAGCTTAGCATCCCTGATAACCATGATGGAGTGGTCACTGACCTCGAGCCAGACATCCTAGAATGTGAAGTGAAAGGGGCCTTAGGAAAGCTGAGCAAGAACAAAGCTAGTGGAGGTGACTGTATTCCAGCTGAGCTATTCAAAATCTTAAAAGATGATGCAGTAAAAGTGCTACACTCAATTTGCCAGCAAATTTGGAAAACTCAACAGTGGCCACAGGATTGGAAAAGGTCAGTTTACATTCCAATTCCAAAGAAAGGCAATGCCAAAGAATGTTCAAACTATCGCACCATTGTACTCATTTCACATGCAAGTAAAGTTATGCTTAAAATCCTACAAGCTAGACTCGAGCAGTATGTGGATCGAGAACTTCCAGAAGTACAGGCATAATTTCAAAGAGGCAGAGGAACTAGAGATCAAATTGCCAACATACTCTGGATCATGGAGAAAGCTAGGGAGTTCCAGAAAAACATCTACTTCTGCTTCATTGACTATGCAAAAGCCTTCGATTGTGTGGATCACAACAAATTGTGGCAAGTTCTTAAAGAGATGGGAGTACCAGACCATCTTATTTGTCTCTTGAGAAACCTATATGCGGGTCAAGAAGCAACAGTGAGAACTGGACACGGAACCACTAATTGGTTCAAAATTGGTAAAGGAGTCCGGCAAGGCTGTATTCTGTTGCCCTGCCTATTTAACGTATATGCAGAGCACATCATGAGAAAGGCAGGGCTAGATGAATCAAAAATTGGAATTAAGATTTCCAGGAGAAATATCAATAACCTAAGATATGCAGATGCCACTCTAATGGCAGAAAGTGAAGATGATCTAAAGAGCCTCTTGATGTGGGTGAAGAAGGAGAGTGCAAAAGTTGGCTTGAAACTCAACATTAAGAAAACCAAAATCATGGCATCCGGCCCTCTCAATTCCTGGCAAATAGATGGGGAAGAAATGGAGGTAGTGACAGATTTTATTTTTCTGGGCTCCAAGATCACCGCAGATGGGGATTGCAGCCAAGAAATTAAAAGACGCTCCTAGGGAGGAAAGCTATGCCAAATCTAGATAGCATACTAAAAAGCAGAGACATCACCCTACCAACAAAAATACTTATAGTCAAGGCCATGGTTTTCCCAGTTGCTATGCATGGCTGTGAAAGTTGGACCATAAGAAAGGCTGAGGACAAAAGAATTCCTAGCATTTAAGAAGTGGGAACAGGAGAGGCTTTGATCCTGAGAATAGTAAGCCTATGAACAATGCCTGGTGCCATGCCTTTGGCTGATTCCTTAAAGAATTAACCAAAGGGCAACTCCTTTTCTTTTATATCCTGATATATCACAGCTAGTGGGCATCAGTTATATGGAGTAACTGTTAAAAAGACCAAGACCACAGAGACAAGGCTAGAGGGGCATCGCAATGGGTCAATAGTTATTAAATTTACTTGATGTCCAGTGTTAAAAATTACTATACTGTATTTTTTCAGATCAGAAACATGGTCTTACAAACTAAAGACTTAGGATTCAGTGCAGTTTATAGTTATCTATGAAGATAAAAGTCCTTAAATGTGGGATTTGGTTAGTTTTCCTGAGCTTTTGACCAGAAAACTATATATTTAATGCAACATTTTTAAAAGGAAAATTGTTTAACATGGAATTTTCAAGCCAGTGCAAGTGTCAGGTCTGCCATTGCATCGCTTCGGTCCTGTTTTGCTTCAGTGGCATCTGCCATAAAAGGAGGGAGGGAGAAGCAAGGGATAGAGGGAGGGCGGATGACAGAACGAGAGGAACCAGAGGTGCCAGCCTGGAACA